GCTATGACATTTTCGTTATCCAGCTTCTCCTTTGATAAACAGTACTCAGAAAGCTCCATAAGACTTGCACTAATGCAACATGACAGCAGAATTTGGTGCCATGAATTCTACAAGTTGAGCCAAGTTACTTTACATTTGCTTAGCTCAAATTTTGGCCCATTGTAGTTATTGTTGTTCAATAAAACAATTAAATTCACCTCAGAATCCGACCTTCCTTTGAATTCTGAAAAGAAAATAACTGAGTGGAAATTAAGGCTATCTATACTTGAAGGATCTTTCAATGGTATTACAGCCAGGATGACACTCACACAGCTGTGAGTAAACTTATATCTAGCACAGAAAGCTTATGGAACTTGCAGATAGAGGAACTCAGTTAAAATCAAAGAAGAAAACAAGTCTAAATCAGCTGCATTGTCCACTCACATAACTTTTCACATTGGCATCAGTGGGTCTTAGTTGGAGCCCTGCAAACATGAGTTGTCCTGTGGACACCACAAATTAAATTCCAATTCTGTGTACAGAATTGTACTGTGACTGAGTTCTATGCTGTCACCATGTGCATAGTTCTGTCAACTTGACTGGCATTTCCAGATGCAGTGTAAGTACAATTGAGTGCTCAAATCCCAGTCCATCTGCAGCTGCAGCGAACCAAGACTTGAAAGCAATGCAGAACCACAGCTCTGCTCACCCAGGTGGTGGGGCTGGGGCCCCTCAGTCCTCTTGGGCACAGCACTGGTCTGCTAGTACAGTGGACAGGGCTAGGTGGGGATTCACACCACACAGTCCTGTCATAGTCCAACATGGGTGTTGGAGCAGGCTGAGGGCTCAAGGAGCTCTCTATGTGGCTCCACAGCCTGTGGCAGGCAACATCAGGTCACACAATGCTGCCTAATGTGGCTGCTGGGCCTTTGGGCTTGGTCCTTGCTTCTCTTGTAAAAATAAAGTAAAAATAATGGTTTTAATGGATGGTGACTTCAGGGTAGTGACAAGAATTACCTCTCTGTGACATGATGTGCCACTCTGAGGTGCACTGAAGAATTAAGATGTGGTGGTGCTGTATTCTGATTTCACAGGATACCATGGTATAGGTATTGTAGGACAAAACAGTAATAAGTCCCCCTTCCCAAGAAGCACACTCAGCTTAAATTCAAAATGTCAGACACAGCAGCTTGCCCCACTTTCTTTAAACTACTCTTGACATCTTTACCATTGCCTAATATGATTACAGTGCCAGTGAGCTGCCTGGCATGTCACTACACACCCTGTGGTTCTGGAAACAGCTTTTCATCACAGTATTTCTGCTGCAGTGCCTCCTGATGAGGCCACGTTTGATTCTCATCTAACACCAGTTTTACGTAGTAACTCATCTGCACCTGAATTTGCTCTCATCTCTCTACAGAGCCACATCCTCCCCCGAGTTGAACACAAGATCTGAACACAATCTATCCTGACTTCAGCAGCCACCACAAGAGGTTTAAACTGGTGTAAAATGATCAGAATCACTGATCTTGGAAGACAAAACATCTCTGAAACAAAATGGCTTAAGAAAAGCTACCAAGTCCATCAGAAAGGCAGGTCTGACAAGGGTACTGGGGAGAAGACTCTCCCTTCTGGGAGACTTCTTCTGGGGAGAAGTCAGGCAGGAAGGTTGCAGAGAGACTTCAGTAATGAAGGAGACCATAATAGCTTTTAGCTTATACTTTTAGGCTAAATATCAAGTGATAGAACCAAAATATGCCCCTAGACATATCTCATTAGACAACAGAGAATGCCTATATGCATTGGTGTGCTCTGGTTATATCATGGAAGTATGAGAGGATTATTGGAAACTGAGGAATTGAGCTCTCCCAACATTAAGACTTGTTATATTTTGTATTTATAAACTAGCATGTAAAGTAAAGCTGGAAGATGTCATAAGGACAGTAGATTAGTTTCCCATCTTAATCCCCTCTGCCTCACTCCCTGGGCATTCAGGTGAGGTCAGGGAGATGCTGAGAGGGAAGGCCCTTTGCAAAGACCCACTAATCTGCAGCCTGCCTACAGTTGGGACACTTTCACACTTGCTTCAGAATGACAACTTGATTTTCTTTGGTGACTTGTTATATATTTTGTCTTTCTTAAAACTTCAAGACACTGGTCTATGGCAAATGAGTGAACCTGAAAAACAGCACGTTGACGTAGCATACTCAGTTCTTACACTGACTTTAGGGACCACAGGACTAAAATGACAGAGTTGTTGCTACTTTCTGCACACCTTCATTGTCTGCAAGAGGCAGTATATGCAAACAGGACTATGCACAAACTACAGAGGAACACCTGAATAATGCCACTACAACGAGCAGTGGTAGGAGTGTTTTCTCTTTACAGCTACCATATCTTTTCTCCTGTGCTATGAAATAATGACCAGGGACTCTCTGCTGCAAATCCACACATAAGTCTACACAGATATGTATACATAGTCCACTCATGGGCTTGCTTCAATGCTGCATGGAGTTTCTCCTGAACTCCAAGTAATGAAGTACATTAATACTTGATCAGAATCCTTACCAGCCCCATTTTTGTTATCTGTTAATTTACATTCACAAAACTAATAATTTGATTAGACAGCATTAAATGCTGATAAAAACCTCACTGAAACATTTTTTTTCCGAAGTACCTAAAAGTATCAGTGAATCAAAACTATCATAATAGAAGAACATAATAAAATCTGTGAAATTAAAAAAAACCATGGAAATTAAATTCCAGATTCAATCGGCTTATTTTGTTTCTTTAGGAGGAATGAAGATCTCAAATGCTATTTTTTAAAAATCCCCCACATAACTATCAACAGATCTGTCTCTATCTTTCAAAGGAGATAATTTACAAATGAGGCAATCTATTCACAGAGAAAATATTTAAATAACTGAACATCCAAAGAACATGTAAGAAAAAGTGAAATTAAGCTGTAAGATGCAAGCCATGAAAGTTGCCACCAACACTATCACAAAAAGGCTTTCCCTCTGCTCCCTGCTCTCGAGCATCCAACGCACATCACATGGCTGGAGCTGTTCACGCACTTGGGGCTGGATATTCTGCCTGCACATTAAGACCTGCTGCAGCCCTTGAAGTGGAGGTTAAGTGCTATGTAAATGCCTCTCTTGAGCATTTAGGACTTTGCTGCTGTTGGGTCTTGCACCCCAAATGCCTGAGTTTAGCCCTTCACAGGCCTGTTCCCTTCACTGCTGAACTCTTGATATTGCTCCAAACTCCTCAGGCATGGGTCACAAACGACAATCTTGTCAGTTCTGGCAATGTTTTACAAAACCTGGTGTCCTTCTTAAATCCAGCTACAAAAGTCAAGAGATTACATCACTGTTCCAGTTTATCATTATTAAAAACAAATGTGTCAGTTCCTGCCCTTGGCATGCTTGTAAAATGTCTGAAAATGTGTCATGAAATCAGTCCCAAACCTCAGCATCCAGAAGGCAATAGAAGAACCAAAGAGTTTATTTAAAAAAAACCAAAAAACAAACAAACAAAAAAATCCCCAAAAAAGAAACTCCCCGCCCAAAAAAAACCTTAACCACATCTTTAAGCCAATCTTGTAATTTTTCGTGCTTGGTTCATGAGTTTGAGAAAGCCTGAATTGGGCAGTTTTAAGTGCAAACATTGCAAATGCCCAAGCACAGTCATGCTGCTTCCCCATGAATTGAAACCAACAAACAATCTCATTTGATTAGCTCTGGTGGAAGTAATATTTTAAGGGGTAAAATGATTCCATGAAGATGATATGTTGGCAATTGAAACGAGATGAATATAGTGCCTGTAAAAGTGCAATAATCCTTAATAACTAACCCAAAAGAAGCATCATCCCCAAGGATAAGACAGTAATTTACTCTCCATATTTAAGCTGCTTTTGAAACAAGACTGCTAAACAGTAAGTTGGCTTGTGATCCTAGACTTGACTGCTGGACTTATCATCATGCCATTGATTCAGCATGCATTTCAACCTAAGTCACAGGATACAAAATCAGGAGGGCTAATTCCTTAAGCCATTTAAGCAAAAGATTGTGAACATGGAATAAATTTAGAGATGGGAGCCTGTTTACCAGAAGCAATGGGAAAAGATACTACATGGTGATCACTGAGAGACTGCAGCAAACTGAAGAGTCCTATGTCTGAAGACTGCCTTTCAAGACATCGCTACCCCTTGTAAATGCATGGAAGTCTTGGATTCCAACCTACATTAAGAAGCAAGTGATGACAATGTGCTTAATTAGACTGAATAGTTACTTGCAAAAAGAATGGAAAACTCTGGCTTATGACAAAACCAGCCCAACCTTCCTTCATCTCAAGTACTCAATTTGTTAAAAAAATTATTTCAAATGTTTCATTTTCTTTAAAAACCCCCCGACCACCACCATTCATCTACATTTCTGAATAGTTCTCACTGCCATTTTATTCATTAGCTACAGGGGCCACAGTCGGTGTGACCAATGGGTCAGATTCAGGTTTCAGCTGTGTTACCGAAACCCTCAGAGAACAGATCAGGGTGAATCAACCGCTTCAGGAACAAGAATGTGCAGATAATACAGGATGTGCATGTTCTGCAAATGTCCTTTGCAGAAAACCCTACACTGTATGATTTCTCTAATGATGCACATTGACTATGTTCAGACTTCCAGTCTTGTGGAACAAAATGTTAGGAATTATTGATTTTTAAGAAACGGTAGTACTACAGGGAGCTAATATGCAATAGTTACAGAAACTGTCTGGGCAGAGACCTTAAATTATTCTTATTGCAAATATCCAAGGCCCGATTTAAAAATCTTAACAGTCTGAACCATTTAAATGCAAATTTGTCCTATTTATCTGGTCTCAATCCAGTCAGTAGAATCTAATAACTCACCAGATTAAAGAATATACAGTTTATATAGCAGAAGGTAATTGCAATTAACTAATATCTGGATGGCATTTAATACACATCTTGTATTATTTCAATGAGATGAGACAGAATAATATTTACATTGCTATGAGCATTTTCTGTTTATAGAAATGAAATTTACAGTTCAGTAAGGTATGCAGGCATTATAACAAGAATGAGATGAGACCATTTAAAGTTTTGTGAATTATTGATATAAATTAATTTTGTTTTGTTTCATCCACCAGTGCTTCTTGCAGTGGCACCAGAAGAGCAGTGCAGTTTATAACAGGGAAAAAAAATAGGAGGAAAGAGCAAATGTGAAATGGTGCAATTTATTCACAATTGCTTTGAAATTCTATCTGAATTGTCTCATAATTATTCCCACATTAGAGGAATGGTCCAAAACATGACAGCATGGGTAAACAGATGCAGAGCTTGGAAAAAAGGTAATCTGACTGAAGTATTCATGGCCATTATTAAACAAATGTTATATTGCTTCTGGGTAAATCTGGTGATTTTATTTAATTTGACATTGTTTTCAAGATAGCAAGATAATACTGTTCGTTTCTAATGCTCTGAAATGAACAAAACAGGTGAAAATTGATGCCACATGGACTTATAATGTTTCAACAGTGGCTAGTTAGTTAAACTTCTAGATAATTCATGAAGAATCTGCATACACTTATTAATGGACTTCTACATACAATATCAAGGCTTAGAGTGCAGCAGTCCTGTTAAAATCTGCTTTCAGTGAGTCACTATGCAAGGAGAGATTGTTCTATGAAGAAAAATCCTGGATAAGTATTTGTTTGAGACTAAACAGTAAAACAGAAACAAAATTCAGGAATGGTAGATAAGACTAAGAAAGCTAGTATTTTGAAACTGCCTAAAAACTTCAATAAATTCTGCTGCCTACTGAAATTATTAAGCCAACAATAAACAGGTAGAATGGAATATCAAAACCTCATTGCATAGTGTGTCATCATTCTTTAATGAGGCCTTCTTTCAAAGTTTTACCTCTTAACACCTTTGGTGATCTTACATTATGTACCTGTAAGATATTCAACGTTTGCTTTTAGAGATTAAACCTATAGGAAGTAAGAAATTTTAGGAATGTACTGAGTCAGGTAATGACACCAGAATTAAGCGTCGAAAAGCTTGGATCAGGTTCAGAAGATGATTTTGAATGAATAGCTATAACTTCTACTAATTTATTTCAGAAGGGACTTCTCATATATACCCTCAAATATTTCAGATGCTTTGTACTATTTCTCAGGAATCCGTATCTTCTCAAAGTGCTTTTCTTGTTTTTACTTGAAGGCAGCATGGACTTAAAACAATACTGCAGGGAATGTACCGTTCCATAAAGCACACAAGGATGGCAGGATCCAGGAGACACAAGGCATAGAAAATTGTCAAAAAGGATTAGATGGTACAACACATACTGCTCTTGAGTCATAACTTTCATTTATGGTGACTTCTACTTCCAGTAGATAGGGTATTAAAAAAGGCAATAAAAATGAAGTTACATGAATAAACTTCCAAAAATGAGTGGAGTTCCACCAGTGATCGTCTCTGCGCTGGTAGAGGTAGAAGAATGGAGATGTCATAAACAGGGCAGCAGTCACTACAACAAATGAGCCTCAATGCGGAGCCAGTGCAGACCCTGGCGAATGTAACGAACCAGATTGGTCATACTGCTGTGTTGTGTTAAGGGTCCCATCACTGAGTCCAGGTCTAGAAAGAACTCTGCAATACACAAGAAACAGAAGCAATTGTTTCAGGCAATGGTACAGAAATAGAGGTATTACCATGATTTTCCATTCAGAAGCAGTACAGTGTAATTAATGAGTTCTAAAGATAGTTGTGCACATGAGCACATGGTTTGTAAAAAACAATTTAAACAATAATATACTGAAACAAACTAAATTAGATTATCTAGGCTGGAAGTCTACCACAGGACGGTATGAGCGGCTGCCAGAAGTCTTCCTTCAACTCTGATGATCTGCACTGTCAGTTTTTTGAGATTAGGTTTGCTGACTGCATGATTTAAATAGCTGGCAGTGAAATCTTGCATTACTTTTCCATGCTGTACTCTTTCCCAGACATGAAGGGCTAGACTGGATCTTTCCAGACTAGAAGACTTTTCTTGCTCTTTTCCCCACCCTTTAATTTCTGTTACTGACATTGCAGCAGTTTTGGCCATCTGCTAATCCTGCTGCAGCTGCAGGCCACAGAGAATGAATGTGGGATGGGAGTGGGCAGGAAGAGGAGAGAGATAACACAGCAGGAAAACAACACCTTGGAGATGGGAACCTCTAATGGGGAAGAATCCCAACCTTGGGATTCCTAGTCAGGAAGGGTTAACAGGAAGTCACTAAACAGAGAGCCCTAGTTAGGAAGCGACACACCAGTTACTTTATGTCATGCATTAGGTGCTCTCTGGGTGAAAGACTTATCCTGTTAGGGCCAATAGACCTTTCCTAATTGCCGTCAATGGAGAACTGATTTGTGTTCTGTATTCTCCCACAGTTCTTTTTGCTAGGGCACAGGCATTCCCACATATACAACACTTACACTATATTTAGGCAAGTGGGAATCCACTCAGTTAAAGCCCCTCAGAGCTCAGATAACAACCAACAATCACAGTAAGGAATGGCTGAACCCTCACGTTCTCACCCTGTCTGCAATCCAGTGCACTGAGCCAGCCAGCACTGCATTGGCTGCACTTCAGGAGAGCAGATGCCAGGTGCAAAATCATTATCAGTACTTTCTTCAGTGAGTTAAGTGTTGCTTTGAGGTCTTCTATCCAAGTATTGACAGCCTGACCCTGGTCAGCTTGGCAGCAGCAGTATCAGAGCACAGAGTGATTTGGCTGGAGGCAAGCATAATGAGAGCTCAGGGCTAGCACCAGTGCTGCTCAGATGCTGCAGCCAGCAGCTACTTTTAATCTTCCTTTCTCTATCATTCATTCCCCTCCTTCAGTGTAAAATCAATACATTTTGAAATGAAATAATGCAGTATCTTTCTTGCATTCTAGAGATCTCATTCTAGGCTCAATAAAGAATAATTGCTTTAAACACTGGGAATCCACCTTAAAGTCTAATTTCAGGTTAACATTTCTTGAAAAAGCTACAAGCACTGAAGCCATTTAATACGTTTATATGTGAGAGAACAGGTCTTGCTCCCTACAGAGCTGATAGTTTCCTACTGTAGAGAAGAAGTCCTGCTTTCTTCAGAAGCATTAAAAAAGGATCTGATCTTGTAAAGTCAGCTGAGAGTTTGATGTTATTAGATAGTGAACAACACCAGTTTAGGTGATCCAACACAAACCATCCTACAGGCTTTGGGAAATCTGAAGTTTAGTTTGGCCTGATACAGATGCAGATTTATGACAAACTCCATCTATTCACCCCACACTCTCAACTCTATGGACCAGGGGAAATTCCACCAGAGGTACATGGCATTATGTTCCTGCTTTCCTTTTCAAACCAGATCAGATTGGCAGGTCACAGTTCTGCTGTTCTCTCTCTTGCTATGCATTTTTATTTTAATGGCACATCTTTTGTCAGGCAGGCACAAAGAAAGGCTTCTGTCTTGCTGCTCTGAGCCAGCTGGAGATGAGTCAAGTTCAAACTGGGAGTGTGCGGGCAGACTCAGAGGAGCACAAAGCCTAAGCTGACAGCTGTGGACAACGGGCAGCTGCACAGCTCCTACAATGTGGAGGAACTTTCTTGTGGCTGCATGGACATGACATAAGAAACATTTATGACAGCAGTAAGACCCGGAGGTAATTGCTATTAGGCCACAGTTTTATACCCATCTCAGGACAGACCATGAAGGACATATTCTTACGCAAGACACACTCTGTGATTCAGAAGACAACAGAAACAATGAGAACTGACCACAAAAACTCACAAAAATGACTGAACATGTTTTGTTTTGTTTTTTAAAGGAACTAATTTTTTATCTTTTTGTAGTTTCTTTGCAGGTTTGTGTGGTTTTTTTGGTTTTGATATCATTCCTATTTCCATGGAAAGGGGGAAAATCTCATTTTTTATAATGAACTGACTGCCCAAGCTCCTGAGAGAGAAACCAAATGACAATCTGGGACTCACAGCAGAGTCGGGGGTTTGCACTACCTGTTTGCTGTCAGGGGGCAGTTTTGAACCCCCAGACCACAGACCAGTGCACCAGAGTTTGGGCAGTGCATCAGAACTGAGACAGCTGGCAAAGATGGACTGGAGATCACTACAAAGAAAGGGGTGATTCCTGTTCCAGCCAACAAAATAAAGGTGCTTAGAATTATTTGAGAAGTGCAAATGACATCTACTAAAACAATTACAGCCAGTTTTCATGAAACACTGTAATATTTTTCACATCAAAGTGTCTTGAATACATCCTGTTTTAAAGAGAATCTCTCATGTGGTATGATGACCTGTGAAGTATTACAACAGTCCTCATACAGTTTTTGCTACACCATGAATTTTTCAAATTGCAATTTGTGTTTAAGCATGCAACTTTAAATCAAGTACTTAATTAGAAATGAGGTATCCTTCCAGAAAATATATAAAGGCAGACATGCTATAGCATGTAGGAAACTCTGATCTCTCTCCAATGGTTTATAATACTTAAATGAAATTTGAAGTAACATGAACTTTGCATTCCCTGTAACGTGTCTGCAGGTTGCAAAACAAGATATGAAAGAACAGGTCACATCCTTAAATGTCTTGCTCATGTGAGAAATGCTTATTCATGCATCCAGTTCCAGTAAAGTCAAAGGGACTGCCCATTTGAATAAAGAGTATTCCTACATGGCTTTGCAGAACGGGGTTTATTTTACTGTAAATCAAGCTGAGAACAAAGAAGAGAATAGGGAGGAAAATACAGAAAGAGAGTCAGCAGGTTTTTTCTCATCCAGTTCTAGGAATGATAACAGCAGTAGCTGGGTACATTTTCTGTCTGTTGGCTGAATGCCTGAGCTATTTTGATTTAATACCAAGTAGAACATTTAACAATTCCACAACACACAGGGCTAATTACAAGATTATCACCATCTCTTCCTCCTATCAGGGCATCCTTCTGCATTCCTGCTGTAACATTCTGCATTACATTTGAAAGGGAATAGCTTTCACATTTTGTGAAAATGGATGCAGCTATAGAAAAAATTCAAAATGACTGCACTGCTACTAAATTAATCAATGTGAACAAAGACAAGAAGCAGTGGGGAGGACTGGACAGAACTTCTATTATTGTTCCTCATCTAGGGATGGATCATTATGACCCATCATTCAGATCTAAAACTCTATAAATATCAAGCTCAGTTTCTCTAAATCAGTGGAAATTTGCCACTGACATGAACAGGAGTAAGATCAAACTGCATACAGCAAGCACATTTGTCAGGACAAGTTGGCCATCTGAAATCTCACTATAATTTAAGAGAATGGGCCAACTCATGATGAGACTATTTCCTAGTTAGGCTCTGCACCTCTAGTGTCAAAGGAAGCTTTCTCAGTGATTTGTGTAAGCCCATAACTGGAATCTGAATAATTACATTGTCATGAGGAAGTTCACAGCTGGCCAACAATAGGCCAAATTTGTCCCTTAGTTAAATCTCAGCCACTTCACTATATTTGTTATAACCCAGTCACAAACTGCTTGCCAAAACTCCTTTGAAATGACAGTGTTAAAGACTAACATTTTGTTGTTAGGAATATAAAAACAGATTGGCAATCCAATCATAGGAGAGTCAAGGTCATGGCTTTCGCCGGACATTTCCTAATTGGACTCCCCACATAAACATAACATCTAATGCTTGCTTTTTAATAGTCTTAAACCCGTTGACAGAGCAGTCTGAAAATAACCTCGGTGCTCTAGAAGAGGCTGAAACTGTGAACGAATTTGCAGACTTAAAAGCTCTCATCACTTGGGGCTTGAGTTTGCTAAATTATTTGCCAGCTGCTCTGATAACCCCATGTTCAGCATGTGTTACACATCCCCCTCTGTGCCTGACAAGAGAAGATACGCATTGGCTACAGCGACCAGCAAGTAGATTTGGTCTGTTTGCTCAAGCTGTCACAGTTGTGAGCTTAGATGCAGTGGTCCTGGGTCCAAATCCAGAGAACACAGGGAAAGCAAAAACTGGGGAGCCAAAGGGGATACAGAAAAGCATAGAGGGCAGCACCTTTGTTCTCCTTGGTCAGCTTGTCAGCCATGTCCCAGTGCTCGTAGCTGCGCAGGACATTGTTGGTGATGTTGACGTGGCTGGCAGCCATGTGGTGGATGCGCTGGGGGATGGTGATGGTCCCCACCGAGGATGAGCCGGCGGTGCCCGTGCTGCTTCCAGCAGAGCTGATGGGGGATGGGCTCAGGGACATGGGTGAGGGGGTTCCTGTGCTCCTGAAAGAGGGAGAGAGAGAGTGAGACCCCCTCATACCCCCCCACTTCACTGCCGTCCTAAATGCACTTTCTGCACCCCAGTCAAGGGAGAGTGTGCAGTGGTACCTCCTGACTTCATGAGAAAGAACAGCTTATAAACTGGGGATGACTGAAAATAAAAAGGGATTTAATTCTCCCTTTTAAATGAAGCTATTATTAAAAAAAAAAATCTATCATAAAAATAGAGCAATCTTTCAGAGAAAGAAGCATCTCATAGCTGTAATGATTTTTCTACCTGCTAGAAGCTGCAATGGCAGTTAGAAAACACTCCATGTGCAATATTGGCTTATTATCAAAGTATTTTCTGGAAACCACAATGACAGTTTGCTCCAAAAGCAGTCACTACAATAAGCAAAGAGCAAGTCTTAAAAGCACCCTGCAGAGCAGTATTAGGACTTGAGGGTACTGCAGGATTATGAATATCTCCATAGGATTCTTTAAGGCTATGGAGATTAGTTCTAATTGCCTACAGTTCATCCACACAGCTCTACATAGCATAGTTTTTAAAGTTACCTACGTTGTGAGGCACTTATGTTCTAATATAGATTTTCCTTTAATTCTAACACCATCAATTAGGAATCACCTGCTGGCTGCAGGCAGTGCAGCAGTCAGCACAGCACACTCTTATTTAGAACTGTGTTGTGCTGAATGCTCACAGAACAGCTATTCTCTTTGAAAATTTATAGGATCATGTTCAGGTTGGAAAATACATTTAAGATCATTGAGTTGAACAATTAATCCAGAACTATCAAGTCCTCCAGTAGCCCATATCCCCACATGCCACATCTACACCAAGACACTTTAAAATACTTCAGGGAAGGCAACTCAGCCAAGTCTCTGGGCATCCTATTCCAGTGTTTGACAACTCTTTTGGTGAAGAACCTGTTAAGACTATTTCTTCTTGTCCCATCACTTGTTACTTGGGAGAAGTAAAAAGAGCCACCCTTCAGCAGATCCACACTCTGGCCCAACTTGGTGTCATCCACAAACTGAGAGTGCCCTCAATCCCCTTCAAGATCAAAGGGGCTCTGGATTATCAATGAAGATATGAAACAGTACCAAGCCCTGGGGAGCACCACTGGTGACCAGCCCCAGCTGGATGTAATTTCATTCACCCATTTGGAAGCATTTGCCTAAAAAAAAAGTATTCTATTTAATGTCGAATACACTTGAGATGCAGGACCAAGACACTCATGGCACTCTTTTCATGAAGCAAAGAGACCAAAACTCTCCAGACAGGGATGTTGCAACATCTCCCTGGACATGCAGCTGTAGATGCCTCATGCTATGCAAAAGCATCAAGCTCAGTCACTGAGCCTGATGCAAAGCACAGGACAGATGGGCTTGGCCTCTTGGCTTTAAAGGCCACTGTGAGTGGCCCTGCAGGAGCACAGATCTGCTGACACCTTGCAGGTGCTGCAGGACAGATTGACACAACAGCATAGCCTTGGACTGAAAAGCATCGATGGCAACAGCTTTTGCTGCAGATTTTCCAGCAGTACCCTGCTATTACCTGACCTCAACAACAGGTCCCGGTGATACATTCTTTTTCCAGAGATGGAGATCACATTGATTTGGCAGCTTGTAGCTTTTTAGTCAGCTTATGGCTTAGAGTTTAAGCATGTCCTAATGCACAAACACTTTATTTTTAAGTCTCAAAACATCCTGGTTACCTGACTTGCCACAGTGTCTTTATTGCACAGAAGAGCTGAACTATACTAGATTAGGTCTGGGAGCAGTTAAAGATGATAAGTATCTGGGGAGACCAAGAGTATTTTGTTAGAGCCACTTCCAACTAGCTGATGCACTTCTGCCAAATAAAGCACATTGTTCATTGGATTTACCCTGTTGTGCACAGCCATTATTACTGTGGTGAGTCTACTAAATCGCTGTATTTTGTGCTTTCTGTCGCTAGAGGTGGGAAACATTTCTGTAATGAAAGCAGGGGAAATTTGTTTCATTGCCAGGATGGAACCCGGGCCAACTTTGTAGAGGTACACATCCCTCTCAAATGAGTAGGCAGAAATTCCAGTAAGCCAAGCTGTGATTTTTGATGGATCTGAGATCCTGACTAGACTACACTCCATGGCAATGGATAAGCTTTGCTTTGTAAAAAAAAGTATTTGAGATTACCCCACAATCCCCCCATCCTGCACCAGACTGCTGCTCCATCTCCAGTGATGCCATACACCGGATGGTGTTTGGTCTTTTTTTCTGTGGTGTGTGAATTCTCTTCCCATCTGGCACAGATTTTCAGGGAATTAAGAGAAAAGTGTAGAGCAAGCAGCCCTGGGGAAGGCAGAGCACAAGCTTCCAATGGCAGCACCAGGCCTGTGACAAACCCTGGAGCCACTGGGAGCCGCCTGAGATAGATGGCACCTCTAAGCCAGCTGGAGAGCTGTTTTCTTCTAAGACCCCACATAGAGGGGACACAAGACCTGAGTGTGGAATGTGGTCTTTGTGTGTTGGGTCACAAGTGCCACAATAAGGCTGCTATAACAAGGCCTTGTCACTCAGTTACTTTCACACGTCAAGTGCTTCCTACTCTGAATAAAAGACAGAGATGTGCACTTTCAGAGCTTTCCTGCCTCATCTCCAAAGTTAGTGGGAAGAGACTGATCACCTGGGTGTTGTGTTAGAAGTGATGCTGACCTGAAGGCTGGGTTTTTGCTCAATACTTTGTGGCCAGACAAGAATTTTCTCCTCCAGTCAAAACCCACTTATTCTCAATCCTGGACACCTAATAGCTCTTTTAAATAGCGAGGGAGATGACATCACCTGCAGAGCACACACTTCATAGGGGTCTATAACAGGACAGGAATAAAAGGATAATTTCTGCTCCATGAAATGTTTATGTACAAGCCCCTTCTTAAGGAACAAAAGAGATGTTATGCTCCAGCGGTCTATTTGATCACTAAATTTTTTTGTTAACATTTAAGTATTTTTATTGCAATACAAGGTTTCACTGACACTTAAATGTCTGGAAAAACTGGCACATAATAAATTATGTAATTTAGTAGTTGCTTTTCCAGTGTTAAAATATCTTTTCAGTTTTTATTTAAAGTGATTTCTTATTTCATCACTTTAGTTTGTGTTACAATCTATACTTTATTAGCTCTATACATACATATTCAAAATAACTTTGAGTATTTGGGGTGTGTACATATACACGTCTATACCCCAAAATATTTTGAATTATTTGAGGCAATACTTGGAGCAAAATGTTGGAATTTTTGGTTTTGCACTGACTGAGAACAAAGTGTATTTGAAAGCTTCAGTTCTTTGTGTGCTAAACTTCAATCCCTCCTTCTTTGCTTCCTTGGTGTGTCTAAAAGCAATTTCTTCTTCTGAACCACCAGAAAGAGACCATTAACAATAGCAATTTTCACCTAGAATTTAGCCTACTCAAATAAAGATTGAAAAAAGGTGAAGTCCTTCACCTTCGTTTTGCTTGTATCTGGATGTGTGACCAGGACAAAGAAGCAGGAGAAATGTGCGTCAGCTGGCAACAGCCATTGCAAGATAAAGGCAAGGATGCAGCAGCAATGCACCTGCACTGAACAGAAGATCATATATGCATTACCCTGACTTCATATCTGAGGTGAGGGTGTTCAAATGCTAATGATACTGATAACTGGCTGACTAAGTGCCCTCGCATTTTCACCACTATTATACCTTCAGTTTTATTAAGCAGCACTTACCATATATCAGTGAAATATTCATTGGTCTTTCATTGCTGAATGCAGCATTGAAAAATCATTGCAATAAAAATTAACTTTACTTTGGCTTCTTAAAGTGACATGGTACTTGCCAGCTAATGAACTGATATTTTTATGACCTTCATCTGGCTTGAGAAGTAAACTGTCAGAGAATTCAGCATAGACCCACCATGTCAGATTTTAGACTTAAGGGGGCGTTGTACAGACAAAGGTGTGATTCAGCTCTTTCTTCCTACCCACACTAGATGGCTCACAAGAGGATCTGACTTGCTCCAATGGGTGCCCCTCACCCCCCACGACCCAAGGCAGCTGTATCATCAATTCTGTAGCTCAGAAGAACAGTTTCTACATGATATGTGTTTGAAATATACGTGCAGCTCCCAAAACAATGATCTCATGACCTGCCCTTTGCCTTTAGAGGTGCAAAAACACCTCCCCTCCTTTTGTTCCCAGACAGAAATACTAAGCAGAAAATACTCACTTTCCATTGCTGCCCCAAGGCGAGGGGGCCTGTGAGGCTTTTGAAGAGTTCTGTAAGTACAAAATCAAAATGTAAATACAGGTGATGCAAGTACATGAATACTGATGACACAAGGCTGAACATTCCCCCTTTTCATTGCAAGAGCTACAGTGCATGGAGCAGAAAAGCTCTGCACATTGGTCCCGTAATTAAGTGGCTGGTGGATGATTGGTAGGTTCTGACAAGTAGCTTGAAAATAATTTGATGAAAGGGAATAAATTCCAGCAAAAGCAGATGTGGGTCACAAAGAAGAGGTTTAATTACTATTGAAACTTAATCTACAAAATAAGTTCTTCAGAGTGCAAATGACTGCTTATCTTTAGAGGGACCTTCAATATTTTTATAAGAAACAAAAAGAATTTGGCTTGATGCTTTAATGAAATTGATCCCTCCCAAGTTGCTTAGGGAAGGTGGCTTTGGATTCAGACAGTAGTATAAATAAAATTTTTAGTAAGGATCTGCTTGAATGCCTTTGTTTTTATATATTTTAGTTGCACAGATTGACTTTCCTTACCTGCTTACTCATTCTGCCTTTCACGTCTGTGTAGCACCTTGTAAAACCCTGTACAAAAAGATTGCCGAGCAACAATAAAGCCCAGGTTTTTCCAGTCTTGCTCAGACTGAGTGGCATCTTAGTTCCCATACAAAGTGGCAGTATCAGGGCTGAGGCTGTGTGTGCCCTCTGAAAACAATCATTCAGCTCCCTTGCTGAGAAATCAGCATGCACAGTGAAAATTCAATCCAGTTTTACAAGTTCTCTGCAAAGTATTACCCACATTATTACAACACTCATCTGGTTACTGTAATCGCTATTTTGCATGGGAGGCACAGAGATTCACTGGAGCACAGATAGTACCCTTGACTTCTAAACCACAGCTCAGCCCAACATCTCTGAGCAAAGCAGAAAACATTATCCAAACCAAATGCTGCTGGTCTGGGCACTTCTGCACAGCAGCCACTGCTTGTCACAGAGGACGTGAGCATGACTTGGGGTGTTTCACAGCACAGAGCATACGGAGCATATGTGGGAAAAGGGGAGATCCTAAATTGCCCTGGAAAGTCTTCAGAAATGGTGAAGAAGCTTTTATTGTTAATTTTTCCTGTCTGGGGATTGTTCCGAACAGAACCTAGAGATAAATAATACCTCTACCAAGATTAAGACTAGATCTCAATTGTCTAGAAGCAGTTGCTTGATAATGAAAATATTTAGCAAAAATATTTCAATGACTACTGACAACATATTTTCAAAACCATGAAAATCTTCCTCAAACTTTCAGAGGAAATACATCACAGGATGTCACTTTTTCTAATCATAAAAGGTTTGATTTCAATTTAAAAAGATTATTACTTTAGTGGTATTGTACTCCAAGTTGCCTCTAAATTTCAAAATTTCTTTCATGATTAAATGGCTATTTTTTGTTTAGAAATGTCAAAAGTATTTTGAAGCTTTTAATTGGAAATTATTCAGAACCAGTTCTGTCCACAGATGGTTTCAATTTGGACGAAGTGGCATTTTGAGGAAAATATAAAGAATAATTGAGCGAAAAAATTCCTCCCCAGCTCTGCTGTAAACAGTAGGCTATTTTTTGTAGTTAAAATGGTGTAAAAGTTTGAGTAACAACTCCATTCAAACAGTTAATCTGTTTCATTTGTATTACAGATTCTTGCTAGTGAACACAGAGAACATGGTGCAGCAATACAAAACTAACACATAGTTAATAGCTCTCATTCTTTTCTTTTCTCCTCCTGTGCCTTTATTACAGAAATAACCTGAATATATAATCTGTATACACTCAAACACTGGTTCTAGCAAACGTGTTACAGTGCGCATAGCATGCACACTGCAACCAACTGAAACAGCTTCGACTGGATGCCTATGCCTAGCATTCCTGATTAGTCTATTTTATTGCATTTTTACTTTTTTTCTCTTGTTTTAATTTACATTAAAACACATTTTCTTTTGCTGGGAGTAGTAAATATGTTCTTTATTTTACCTATTTGCTCAGCTGGAGAAAATAAAGTGGCTTTAAGGCAAGAGAATCTCCCCTGCTCCTGCCTTTTTTTTTTTTTTAAGAAATCATTACTTTCTGCAGAAAAGGTTTATTTGTCTAAAAATCCTTTTTAAGATACAATCTACATTCATCCTGGATAAAATCTAAAGTGACTGGAATATATTTCATGAAAATGCTGAGGTTACAAATGTGTGTAGCTCAAATTTAATTTTTTGTGCAAATCCCTGACTGAAAACTCCATGAACACAACAGAGGCAGTCCTAATGGTACAAGAGAGCCTCCATTTAAGCACAAGATTAGGACTGACATTACTGAAGTTGCACAGAGACACACATAGAGGACACATGGGTAGTCAGGACTATGGCTCCTACCATGGCAGTACTGGAGTTTTACAGCAGAAGGACCATTTTATCACCATTTACATGAAAACTGCAGTGTTAGAGGTTTTTACTGGTTTGATGTACTAATATGTCAAAGCCTGGAAAAAATTCACAGAGGCTGAAAACACCAACAAAAAAAGACTGATGGGCTGATAAGCCAGTATAATTAAATAATTATAAAATAATATATAGTAATAAAGTAAAATAATTAATGTATGCTTCAAACAGCATTAACCAGTAAAATATAAATATTAAAACGTCAGAGCTGAAGAAAGATTCTATTTACCTCTTAATCTAGGAACAATGAGGATTTGTCATTCTTACACTGGGTAAACAGCATTTGACAAGGTAAAACAAAACATGACCTATTGGATCTCCATTCAATTTAAGGTGAAGGCAAACCTTCAGGATGTAGATAAGGAAATTCGAAGTTCCACAGGAATAAAAGGAGAAATCTCTGAAATTGCAATAAGCTTCAGGAAATCTCACTGAATCTAAAATCTAAATTTAAGTAACTACAGCCTAAATAACTGCTTTATTGTGGTTCATTGGGGGTCAGTTCATGACACTTGCACATTGAAACCCTGAAAGAATCAGAAACTTGCATAAACATTACACAGTGTTGAGAATAATTTTATTTTTGTACAATTACTGAGTATGGTCCTTTGAATCAAGTGACTAACCAAAAAATCCCCCAAATCACTTCTGTCCCCATTCCCTGGCATCCATCCTGACTGCATTTCCCAGGGGAGAGGTTAAATGTGGGACTTTTAAGTCATGCAGTTGTACTTGTGAGAGCTCTCAGTGCTGGTATGAATTTCATTTCATATCAATAAATTAAACAGAATAAAGATTACCTTAAAATATTCCATCAGAGATCTGGAGTACTTCATAGCATGGTCCTTCTTTAGTTTAAACATTCTTAAGTAGAGAAGTGATAAGCATCGGTAGCTGCAGTAATTAGGAAAGGATTCTCTTAATTCCATTGCTTAATGAAACATATGAACCATTAAAAAAAGCAAAAAAAAAAAAAAAAAAGCTGACCTATATTTTGTAGTTTCTGTTCTAAGGTTACATTTTGAAACATAAGCAAATGGAGGAAAAAAAAAAGTGGTCAAAAGCATTAAAATCCCATCTTGATTAAGAGCGTAAATTAGAAGAATAAATGTTTAGTCAGCTGCTGAATAAATCCACTAGTTATCCTTTAATAGTTTAATGGAAAACAAGAATAATGATCTTCTGTAAGCTGCTTAAGTAATTCAGTACTTTTAAAGTCCTCTTGAAGATTTTAGGTGCTTCTCTCATTGTCACAAAGGGACTTACCATAAAACTGCTAATTTCTTGTCTCCTTCTGTGGCAGAAGAGCCTGTGAAATTCTTGAGTCTCATTGCATACCTTGTCAGAAAGGTGAGAGATAAGAAATGGAGAGTTAAGATGTTTCCAAAAATAATCAGATATTATTTTCTAACTGCAGCAATTATTGGTCACAGTGCTCTGTAATGAAGAGATCAATGTAAAACTCAACAGAAAGCATCACTTAAAATCCAGAGGCCTTAAGTAAATCACCAACCAATTTTTGGGCCAACAAGGGGAACTATTCTTGGGCATATTAATGATATTATATCCAGTCAACTAGGCTGAGTCCTGCAAACATCTGGGATGAGTGTTGACCAGAAGGGTCTTGGTCCTACATATACTGAAGTGTAAAGTAATATAGGATAAGGTTTTACATATAATACTTTGGGCTTGAGTAATATCTTCAAAATCCTTCTCATAAATGCTTCTTCAAAGCTTTTAATATATTTTATACAGAAAATGATTTTACATACAGGAAAGGTCACGTTCACAGCTTTTTTCATTCTTGGGTTCATTAATTTATGAATCTTGTGTACTTGATCTTCCCTCTCTATTTAACTGCTGCTGTCCAGCATTTGGATGATCAACGATTTAGTATTGCTGTCTCTGTCTTTTTTTCCTTTAAATGAGCACACTCCATTCTATGCATTAGTCTCTTGAAAATCAATTCATTGCATAAAATCATTGTTCTGAGCCCTAATGCAATTTCCCAGGTACTTGTGTTAGAATAAGTAATAAGGTTCAGTGTTGCGTAAGAAAGTTTTAAGGTATCCAGGCAGTCTTGATGAGTTCTCATTTACAAGAAGGTAATGGAGTGCAGGCAGCTGTACTGCTCTCCCTTGCCTTGCTCCCAACACCATCCCGAGCCTCAGCCTGCAGCTGCACCACCCCACCTGGAGTGCTTCCTCCATGCCCTGTCCCACCTGCTCTTGGGTATTGTGGCTCTAGTCAGATTGGATGAATGTGATCAAACACAAAGATCTATGTCACACTGGGATTTCAGCATAACCATTAACTTAAAACACATTTGACAGTCATATCTCTGATAGTTCTGATCTCTTTGATGCTCTACTTGCTTTCACAAATAGGTGTCTGATGCAGATAGTCAGGGCAAACATAGCTAAATGCAAAAGGGGTAAATTGTGCTTCTTATGAAGGGAGGACTAAAAGTGAGAAAAATCTCTCTCTATATTTGTTATCTCACACTAAAAATCTATGTTAATATTAGCAGCTACACTGAGAAAGCATTGTGTGCACAGCCACATACTTTGTACATTCAGAACCCACTGTAGCCCATAAGAATTGTGTCTTTGTCCATGGAGTTTTACTGAGCCTGTACCAGCCTGCTGCTCACCTGGACAATCACCTTCTGTCCATGCCCGACCATTAACAGCAATTAAATGGACAAATCAATCTCACTGGCTGCTACAAGATGCTGCATGCAACAATTGGTGAATTAAACTCTACTTTTGGTGGTAGGTGGTGGAATTAATCTCACCTGATTTAAACTATTTATATATTGGAGATCTACTATAACAAATTCTCCAGATTCTTCCACAGCCAAAAGCAGTTCCAGAAGCAGTTCAGATGCTGCTTCCATGCCAAGGTCTACCTGCCCATAGCCTGCAGCAGGACTGTGCCAGGAGCAGCAAGGCAGCAGGGCTGCTGATGCTGAGGAGTGCCAGTAACCCCAAGACACAGCTGTGCCCTCACCTGATTCCCTGCAGGTCCTGCCCTTTTGTGAGCCACTCCTGGAGATGCCATTCCCTGATTTAAGTAGTTCACATGTTGTGAGTGAGAAAAGCTTTTTGGTCTGTGCACTCTGAACAGACTGACTGCTAGACTGAGGAACAACAATTTAATTGGGCTGTGTGGTTTTCTTAAAAAATCAAAAATAAATGCAGGTTCCTATGAATAAGCACTCCCTTCATTAAAGAATATTTCTTTAAATACAATTTATTCTGCCATGCAGCTGCAACTGTGTAGTTCAGGACCTGCTGTCAGACTGCAGGATGATTTAGGCACAACAGAGCAGAGGCAGGTGGCTCCTTTGGTAAGTCCTCTGCTCTCCAGGGTTTAACATGGATCAAGTCTTGGGTGAACATTATTTTTTTCTTGACTGATTTCTTTAGATTTTCTTCTTCCCTTTATGAAGTGAAGAATGTAAAAACTACGTTTTTAAGTACTTAACAGGCATATTATTTACCTGAGAGTAAGAGCTTAAGATTTGATACATTTTATTATGTAAATACCTACTTATTCAAAATGTAAAACATATATTATCTTGGCAGTCCCTAATAGCTAATCTGGCATGTTAAAAAAACACCACTGACATATTAAAAACCAAATATTTAGGGGTTGATTTGCCTCTTTTTCTTTCACTTGTGGAAACTGGCAGTAATTACACTGACATTAACAAGAATATTCCCAGCATTCACTAGAGAAAGCGAAGGTGTATCAGTGAAGAGGAAAAATCCTGTTTTTCTACTTACAGGTGAATTTAATCTGGCTTGATTTCACTTTGATAATTTGCCAAAGTAAAGCAAACTTAGTTACTCAGGAGACTATTATTTCTAAGGAGCCAACACTATGAAAGAGCTGTATGAAGCAGTAGCAGATTTTAGAACAATAATCACACATTTTATTATTATGTAAAGACTCTCTCATCCATATTATAGCCTATGAGTCTACAAAACTATATTAAAATTAATTCAGATCGTTCACATTCCTTTAACATTACAAATACACTGTTTTCAAGACAATATATGCAGAAGCTTCCTCTCTGCCTATGATCTTACATCCCAAATTTCAGCTATTCTCTTTTTTAATAGCCAAGTTACAAACCTCTAAAACAAGGGTTTGTAATAGAAATCCTGATAGACTCCCTTTAATGTTTTGAATTATAAAAATACACCTTTTAAAAGACAAGTGTCATTGCCAAACAGTGAAATGACTATACTTTACTTCCACCCACTACATTTCAATTTTAATTTTATGAATATTGCAAATTATAACACTCACATTATAACCTCTAAAGGGGATAATTTATAAAAGCAGGGTCCATCAATTATAAATTTTCCATGACATTAATAAAATGGCAAGAACTAATTATGATGACTTCTGAGATGAAGACGCCTTGAACAAATCATTAATACGTTGAAATGGTATTTTTTAAAACATAGCAGGTTCTAATTATGACTGAAATGAGATGATGAAAATGATCACAGAAATGACATTAACCTGATGAGTTCCACAGTCTCTGAGTACATGGTATATGGCGATTTAGCTTCTAATGGATCTCGCTCCATAGCGTTCCCGCACTCGATGAAAGAGAGGGCAGCATCAGCATAATTCACTGCTTTACCGAACTTCTCCAGCTGAAATGGGAATGACACTGTCAAGAAAATCCTTCAGCTTTGACTTCTAGGTAGGCAGATTATTCTACAAAGCAACACTAGCATTAGGATGAAAGCAAAGTGACACTGGTAGTTAAGAATGAATTCATACAGTAATTAAGACAGGGACTAAGTTTTACCAAATCTTTTCAGGGTACTACATGGCTGAATGCTCCACAGAGGAAAGTCAGTGTATGTCCACTGTCATTAGGTATTAACACAGGCAAGAAAGAGCACTAAGCATGTTTGTGCACATCCATACTGCTTGACAGATGAACTAAGTTTGAATACCACTATGCAAGGGTTAAGTAACAACCCCATGCCATTTGGAGTCATATTCTGTGTTAACCATTGGTCAAAAAAAAAAGTCTCATCACTTATGAGTAAAAGAGCAGGGAAAAAAAAGGGAGACAATATAGCTTAATATTTCATTTTATGAGGGTTTTATTGCAAAAGGTTTTAGCCCTCATAATGCTTGTGATTAAACTGACTTAGACATACTGATTTCTTTTTTTATGTGTAATGAATATTATATACGACATTTTTATAGCATGCACTTTATAATAGCATTTAATATTCTCAGTTTTTGATAGCTGAATGTAAGAATTCTACTAATGTGGCATTTGATATGAGATCCAATATACTTTAAATAATTTAAAAATGTCTTTCTATGTCTCTATCAAAATATTGTTGATGCATCTGCATATGTTTCCATTCACAAAACAGAAGCCTATTCTAACAACATATTAAGCGTAACATTTATTATCCATCCAAGATAACAGTATACTTGTCTTTGTGGCTCCTACTAAGCCATAATAAGTTGTCTCTGCCCACCTTTAATTTCAAGTACTGCTCTTGTGCATTGATTACATACATAGCCTTTGTATAATTGATAAGTATTAACTGAATGATCAGGAAAAGGGAAAAATGTTTCTGACTGCTCTCTCTCTCTCTCTCTCTCTATTCCAGTGCCTGCTTCTCAGTATATTCTTCAAATTCTTTTTTTTTCATTTTGAAAAAATTTCCATGCATTTTGGAAGACAAAAAGTTTTCCAAAGATGACTTTTTGTGGTATGGAATAAAGAATCTGGCTGCAAGCAGATTCAGTAGATACACAGAATTTGAGCCAGGAATGGGATCCGATTTTCTGGAGTAAGTGGAATTATTCCAGCTCATCAAATCTCAGACAGGAAAACAGTGAGGTCTCCAAGATCTCTTCCATATGGTACAGCCAGTTGCCACTGCAGCAGCCTACTCAAATTAGCTGATCCCTTACTACAACCCCAGACAAGGAGAGGTTTCCTTGGGGTTGTTCCCATAAGATATGAAACGTCCTGCCCTTCACCAGAAATCTATTTTCTCTACAAGCTCAGGAACACTGCTGCCACAAATCTCATTAACATTTGCTGACACATATTGAGGTCATATGCATTATCTTTTTATCCACTGCAACACTACAATCTTTTTATGCTCCCTGTGCTCTGTCCTGTCAGCACCAAGTAACCAGCAGCCATAGTACAAGTAACACTATGGGATTGCACACTAAATGTATTACATGGAGATTATTTATGTGCAGCTGCATTGGGTGGGGAAAAAAATACTTGAGATCTAAATAGCAGAAAGAAAAAGTAGATACTTTGTTAATGGATACTTATGCCTGCCAACAAGTTGATCACAGTGGATGGCCTCACATTGGGGCACTTGGGTTTTCAAACTGCATGTGACAGGCAGGGCCTGCCTGAAGGCAGCAGTGGGATGGACTGTGCCTGCTCCTCTTAGTGCTGCTTGAGAAATAGCCCTGACCCTGCAGGCAAAGGCAAAGGTAAGAGCACGGGAGAAGGGTCTACACGTCGCAACTGTGTCTGGCTGCAGAGGGAGGTGAATTGACAGAGCCTGTTGAAATCATTGGGAGCCTGAGCCTGTAAATATTTGCTACTGTGGAGCAGGTAGTCCTGTGCCAGCACTATGTGTGCTTTGTTTAAAGGTCACCCAGCTGTGGGAGGTGTTGTGAGACTGCAGACGCCAGGCTGTGGCTGGATGTGCTCTGCGGAGCCGGCTGGAAGCCAGCAGGCCACCTCCTGTAAATGGGCATGCTGGAATGACTGTCACCTTGATGATGGTCATAACAGGTGCCAAAACCCTGAACCCACCTCGTACAGAAAACACACTTGGAAACACAGTGCCCCAAGCCAAAAAGGAGCCTGGAGAGATTAAGTAGTCAGCTTGAAATGTCAGCTCTCCTTCAGCTCACTGACAGCAGAGGGTGAGACTTTTCAATTAGACTAGTTTGCTTTTTAAATACATAGCATGCAATTGGTTTTGTTTTGTGGGTTTTTTGTGTGTGTGTTTTTTGTTGTTGTTGTTGTTTTTTGTTTTGTTTTGTTTTGGTTTTGGTTTTTTTTCCCTATTTATTTATTTATTTATTTATTTATTTATTTTTATTTCTAAGCACAAAATCTCTAGTGTGTAATGATAGAATATACATGCAAAACCTCCAGAAACAATAAAGTTGAGAGGTGAATAATCACCCACGTCTTGGAGGCACAAAGTGGATGGCCACACTCCATTTTAGGTATCTTAGTTAAATTAAGTAGAGGAGTCAAGTTCCACTAAGTCTTCCTAAATGAGCCACTGTTCTGCACCCTATGTAGCACACAGGACCAAAGTCCCTTTCTACAAATGTTGCTTAAGGACACTTCCGAACTGGCAATAGCTTGTATAAAACAAATCATGGTAAAATACAATCTGTTGGATTTTGTAGTCTTACCAAAATCAAAACACTTGGCAAAATTAGGCCAATCTTACTGGAATTTCATCTGGGGTAAAGCAAGCAAAAAAGTTTTCCCAGCATTGAACTACCTCACTACCAGGTTTTTTTGGGAATACGTATGTTGGAACTTTTGTTATCAACCTAAAACCATCCAATAAAAATGAATATAGTACATAAAAAGTCAACTGTTTCAAATTTTAAACAATCAGATTGGAAATATCAAACAGTTTTACCACATGATAATGGGGTGTGGGGTGATTTGCTTGTCTTTCTGCTATGGAATATTTCAACACTTCTGTTTTAGGCTCAAAACGAACAGAAAAATAAAATTCGAATACACATCAGCTTTTATAAAACCATTTTACATACTTCATAAACAGCATGATTGGTACTCCCCTTGGAAGAAACACCATCTATTTTAAGTAGCTTTTTTTTGGGAACAAATACTTAAACATTAGGAATGGTGTTCAGGGCTTAGCTTGTGCACAGCGTGTTTATGGAGCACAAACTGAAGTACAGTTTAGTCAATAGCCAGGCTCTTCTTGGTTTGAGAGGCTTTAGATCTTGTGCAATAATGTCCACTTTTAGACATTGAGTTTTCCACAGTGGAAAGAGACAAAAAAACCTGTGATAACCTACCAGTGCATCTGCTTTATGCTTCAGCTTCTTAGCCTCTTGCATGTAATAGTCTGCATTGTGAAGCCTAGAGAGACAAAATCAATTAATTCAAGTCTCTGCTTTCATATAGTTGGACAAACGTTGTTTGAAAAAATTGCTGACTGCTTTAAAGAAGAATTTTGACATATATGCCCACTTATCTCTTTAAATCTTAACTTGATATCAATCTGAAGCTGGTGTATACAGAGATATGATGGGTGACCAGAATGTAAAATAAGTAGCTGTAGAAACTGGCTGTCCAAAGGACTTATTAATGTGTGCTGAACAGACAAAAAGAAAAAATATTTTAAAATAATTTAATATAAGAAGTTTCCATTAGAGGAGCTAAAATAAAAAAAAGAAGGATTACCGTGAACCAACATTCATGATCTGAAAACATTTATCAACAGAATCTTCATTAATCAGTGACAATGGTTCATTTGCCAAGATTAAAACTATGTGTGCCTTTGTGCAGCACTATTCACACAGGTGCCCAATGCCAGTACTGTACTCAAAGATACTCTTTTTCACTGGGACCTCTGCTTGCACAAAAATCTCAATCACAGAGCAGAAAGTCAGTAAAACTTACACATCATCAAATGTTATTTTGGGTCTTCTGGGCTCAGAATTCCCATTGGAAAGCCTTGGCATTGCAGACCAGACGTCTGGTTCTAGATGGCTGGTGTCAAGAAGAGTGTTGGCTGTGGGTGTAGTGTGACATTCTTCTTCCTAGGAAACACACGACTGTTATTCATAGTTCAAACAAACACCTTCCAACTATGTAAGTGCTCACATCCATCCTCTCTGCCAAAAACCCTTCCCAACAAACCAAAGGCTAAGGCACAAAGCAGCCCACCTACCTTCATGTCACCTCACCAAACCACCCTTCCCTTCTCTGTAACACGAGACTAATAGATTAATAAGGGAGTATGACTCCACTTCTGAGTTCTCACCTGAACTCAGTAATTTACTCAGTAATTACTTTTAGGTGTAAGTTTTAGGTGGATACCATGGTGTTACTGACTAGAGACACTGGTTAAAGCAAGGGTGGGGAGATCTAATGGGCCAGGGCTAGATCTAAACTCAACTTCCTTCGAGGTGTATCACACATTAGTAATGTCACCTTTTTTTCTGCATTACTAGGAGCTAACTGTTAATGTAGGTGAAGAGTCTGCTTGGATTTCAGCAGGGAACAATTTCCTTACTCTTGCTACAAAAAGAAGAATGGAAAGCTGAAGTCAGTTGTGACTTTGCAATGATTAAAACCAGAAGCATAACAGAAGATTTAAAATCAGGCAATTGCAACTTGCAAGCCTGGGTCCCAACCAGATAAACTAAATTACAGATGTACCAATGAACTAGGGAAAGAAGTCTAACATATTTTAGGGAAAAAAATATTTCATGTATCAAGATAATAGATGATAAATCTGACTAGAGATGCTGGGATGAGAGGAAGAGGCCCTGCTGTTTACATAGCACTGTTTATTTGCTGACATATGCAGCTCATTTTGGCACTCATTTCAGTTGAAGGCATGTGTATTACTGGCGCAGCTTGAAGGGACACAATGATATCAGAAAGCAACAGAGATGAATGAATAAGGTGAAGTGATTTGTCACCTACAATTCAATGCAACTTTTGAGTTTTATTATTACAGTGCGGGATAACAACCTCTCTCAAAGTGGTGAACTGTGAAAAATAGGGCTATGCATGGCCTTTTCTGTGACAGAATTTTCTTCTTGTCTTTTAATTTTGACAGTGATACTAAGATATAGTTTGATACTATAAAGTAAGGATGGGTTTGAAACTCTAGAGGAAGGACTATTTTCTAAAACTGGCCAAAGCCCTGGAGTTTCTCAGTTTAATCCAAAAAGAGGATGAAAAACTAATGTGAAATTTTACATTGTTTTAGTGAATTTGTTATGCAGTTTTGGCCCTTTTCCATGTATTTTCAGAAAAAAACCTACCTGAATCTGGTGAAAAGCAAGCAACAAAGAACTGTCTCTGTCAGAACCACTGATAGGGAGATGGCCCTAACAGTGTGATATTTTTCTGGGGAGAAAAAAAACCCTATTTACAAATTGTCTAAAAGCTTACACATAATTAATGAAGATTAAGTGTAAATAAACCTTACTGTTGTAAGCCTGAAAACCTGAGAGAGGTTATTAACATGCTGAGTGTACTACAGACAAGAATTTTTTGTTATATTGTCATTGTCTGTTTAGTTTAGGCCATAATATTCAGTGTGATTACAGTGCTTAATTCTGGCTGACAATTTGGGGCAGTTATTCAGGTGATATTCTGGAAGTTTTATTTTTGAAATGTGAGTGTAGCAGCTACAGAATTAAAGGACTAATTGCAGCTAGTTGATAGCTGCAAAGTCTTTTCTTTGAGGCTCAGGGTCCAGGTGCTTCAGAGAATGACAGACAACACCAAGTAGATGCCTCATGCTGACCTAAAAATGGAGCTTGCAAGAGCTGTTTATGCCTGGCTCTGCAAATATCCACTTCCCCCTAAGTGGGGCTACACGAGCATTTAAAAATACATATACTGCGTGTAAAAAAAAAAATCTAACAGAACTAATTTCATTTTATGTTGTTCACTGCCACCAACTGAGGCTAGTTAACTTACACAAATTGCTTTGGGGTTAGAAGAAGATTTATTTTCATTCTTTCTGTGTTTAGAAACAGAGGAGGAAGAGCTGCTGGTCTGTGAGGTGCTCGTGACAGTGGGTTCCTGGCTGAAGGAGCTGTTGTCACTGCTGTGCCGCCGGTGCACTGGGTCGTCCAAGAGCGGGGACAAGGGAGGAGGGAACAGCTTCTCTTCTCTTTTCTTTGTCGCCTTCTTCACTGAGCTACTGCTGCCCCTGGGACACAGAGAAAAACCAGATGCACTTCAAGAATATTGGTTAATTCCCCACAGCACAAAGCCCTACATTTTATTTACTGAGAAGCCAGCTCTGCCCTCGATTCTGCCTTGCAGTCCTGTGCCCTGCATGGTAACGCACAAGGGGACAGCAGTGAAAACAGAGCTGCCTCTGCCTTTTCAATGACTGCAGAGACCTTCTGCTTTGGAGGACAACTTGCAGTGCATTAGTACAAATTGCAGCCAATTTAAATGCTAATTTGAGTCATTCTTCATTTGAGAGGTCATAGAGGTTCTGACTCAGCAAAGTGCTGGTAAGTTTTATGCACAGGGTTAGTTCCTTTGACATCAAGTATGACTATGCATATAACGTTAAGCATATTTTTAAGAGGTGGATTAGGGCTCACACAAGCAACCTTTGCAAAAAAACTGAAACAGCCCATGGCAGCATATGAACCAAAACCAGAACTTGTAACAACTAAGAAATGATAATCATACAATAACAAGATAATAATTATTTAACCTGTAGAATAAAACCAATGTTCAAAACTGTATTAAAATGATACATTGTAGCTGTCAAAAGCCCTTGAGCAAATATTGGTTGATGAATTGAACATGATTCAGAAAATGAATGTGGTTTTGACATGAAAGCTCAAGTAACATGATAATCTATTGTGTGTTTTATGTACAGAAATTGTTAGCTGGTTAGCAATGGCAGCTGTGATGCACAGTAAAACCAGAAAAAAATCCAAAACCTGGTAGACCTTTCTTCATTCAAATTCATCAAAAAAGAAAAAACCAAACCCAAGACCTCACTGATTGCTTAACAGGATAATCTATTAATAGATTTTTATTTCAGGTACTGTCACAGCTCAGTCAATGAAGATAACCTGAATTTTAATATTTTGTTAGACATCTAATATTCACTACATGACAATTTACTTTTCATGATCATTGACTAAAATTTCAATAATAAATTAAGTCAACAATAATTTATGTTTTGTTCCCACTTTCAGTCAGTGTCAGGAATTATCAATCTACTTTACCTCAAAGTAAGCTGGGAAAGAAGAGGAGGTGACCCAAGTTTTCTTACTTCTCATTTAGGGGCTCTCTCTCATTTCCATCTGGCCTGTTCTGCAGTTTCACTGACAGTATCAATATCTACACCTTGGTCACTGCCCTAATTGGGACCTTTGATGATACAGCAACTGTGAAACCACAGAGTGAAATCCAACAAATTCCTCATGTTTTATAGCTCCTCTACCCAAAACTACTTTAATTCAACTGAAGCACTGTTAAAAAGACCTTATTTGAAACCCTGTGATATTAAAGATCTTCAGACTGAAGAAATAAAACAAGCTCAAATTTATATTGCCTTACGAGGATGTATGCTGTCTTTCTTGGAAAACACATGGGTCTGAAGAAGATCAAAGGCAAACAACCATGTTGGAATAGACCAGAAGTTGTTTGAGAAGACTGATTTTATGCACATGTGGCCCTGCAATATGTCCTCCAGAAAATTCTCACTCAAAGCTCCATCTGTTCACTTTCTGACCTCCAAAGGGCATTTTGGAACTCAGACAAGTTACCATAGTTATAGCTTACAACACTCTGAACTTTTCCCAGAGGAAAGTTTTCCAAAGGAGGGTGAGCACTGCCCCGACAATGCATGCACGTGTTCTTGAATTGTACAGCAGCAAAGACGCAGTTAAGCCACAGAAACACAAGGAGCAGAACTGAAACCCTCTGCCTCCCAAGCACATGCCCTGCATAGGGAACCCTGAACATGCACTCACGGGGGGAGCACAGAGCAAAGTGCTTTTCCGTGCCACTGTGCATAGCGGAAGTTGGAGCTTTTCACTATTTAAAACTTCACCAGCTCACTTCATCTTTGGGCTGATATAAGATGGGGCAAACCAAGGAACAGGTGCAGCTACTCAACTCTGGCACGTAAATCACTTTGTGGGTTGGAAGAATTAATCACAAAAGAAGAGGCACTAGAGGATGTTTTTTCTACATAACTCATGTTTAACTCCACCCTCCCCATAAAGGCAATTTTAATTGTCTGTTGTTTTTCTTTCTTTTCTTCTCTTCTCCCTGCCCACTTAATCCTATAAGTTTTTTGCAGGAATTAAGCTGATAATTTATTTAACAATGTTACCTCCCTCAGATTTACACAAAAGCATTTACGTTAATAATAACCTCCATGAAATAGGTTGTTACCAGCAGTTAATCAGATTGTCACTTTGCTTTGGGCTGTTAATGGCCTAGGAAACTGGTCTTTGATTGCAGGAATAGCTAATTTTGAATGAATTTATTGCAATAATTACTGAGACTCAATGGTTTAATTTGCTGACGTGATTGCTAGCTAAAATATATTTAAAATCTAGAGAGAAACACAAAGTGCGTGGAAAAACTATAAGCAGAACTGATGGTCTTGTGGCTGCAGGGTTTAATCTTTTATGTCTAAAAAAGGCCAGTTATCAAAGAAGGAGAGGGTTCCCCATTTTTTTCCAGCCTGGTTTCTTTTAGGGCAACAAGCAAGCAAACAAACAGGTAACAAGAGGTCATTGCATGAAGAAGGGAGAATTTCCAGCTACTCTGATGTTTCAAGCTGCTTTTCTTTGCCCTTTCTTTATCCATTCCTTGTGGTACGCAGTGGGATCTCTGGCCTCTTAGTGAGACAAAGCCACTCTCTATACCATGCACTTGGCTTTCCTTTGCCTCTACTCCCCCGGCCCACAATGAAATGCTGCACATTGATGGTGTATCTAACTTTCTGCAGGGAGTTTACAGGGAAAGGTCACTCCCATGTTAGCCTGGACCATATGGAAGCACCTGAATAGAGCTGAAGTCATTGTCATAGATGTGAAGGCTGCCTGGGCCGTGAAGGAACCCCAGTGAATACTGCTGTGACTACCCAAGGGATCGACTAATATATATTGCCAATTACAGGTGCATCTTCAACTAAAGATCAAACAAAAGAGAATAGGAAATTTTGAAAAACAGAAATGCAGAAATGCTTGCCTCAGACAGATTTCTAGCATGCTTGCTAGATAGAGGGCATGTTTCACTGGTATGAGTCCAGTTTGACTCACAGTTTGCATCAGCAATTGATTCCCTGTGTTGCTACAAAAAGCCAAATACTGGTGAGTAGTGCTGTCTGGACTGGGTCTACCAATCAAATATTCATATATTAGTAGGATTCAACAGCACATACAATTAATGTTTAAATTAAAATTTTTCTGTCAAGGAACTAAATATAAATAAGTAATCCTCTGCTCTGCAAAGCAGGCAGCTGCTCTGACAAAAATTCAGCTTCACAGAAGTGTTTCAATATATTCCTATAAAAACACTGAAACAGCTATTCCTTCATTTGCTGTAAGTATCAGAAATAAGGAAAATACAGTGACAATAGTTTGAAGAGTATATTTTAAGTGACAGATCAGATTTTGGAAAAGGCACCAGCCCCGGAGTATGTGAGGGAAGGAACAGAGAGGTGACTATGGCTTATGCAATGACTACATAGTACAAACCTATTCTGTGGTTGTGCAAATGTCTTTTAAGTTCACAAGTGACCATTTGAAATTTCTAAACTCAAATAGTACATGTAGTCATAGAAACTTGTGGAAGTCAGTCATATAATTGTCCTTATTAGACATGCGACCCTTTAAAGATTAATTGTGCATCTTTGCTTCTTTATTGAGCCCATATATTTAGGGGAAGATTATAGAGAAATGTATGCAAGTGCTGAAACCACAGCAATGCAGACAATAGGAGCTGTGACCTATCTTTTGCTGATTGCTCCAGACTCCTGAATGCCTCCAAATTTTGGCCCAGACTGTGGTCTTTCTGTCAAAACACTCTTGTACTTTTAAAAAGCCTAATAAAAATCTCATGCCTTGGGGAACTTGGCTTATTGGTACAGGGATCAAGTTCTAATAGGAGAGACCTAAGTTTCCTACTAAGTGACAACATCCACCATGAGACTTAACATATCATTAAGGGACTGAAGATCATCATCACACCTGTAGCTGACACCCTCATTTCTCAAAGTCCTTATATAGAGAGTTCTAAAAAAAAAAATTAGAACTTTTGGAAATAAAAGACCAAATGGCAAAGCCTATCTTTCAGCCTTTTACCCTGGAAGTGTTATTTGCCCCCACGGCTATGAACAGTGGACTTTCTTCGGTCTCCCCTTAAAAATTTACTTAACCCTCTGGAGAACAGAATCACTCCTGACTGCTTAAAAATTAACGTTTAAATTTCTAGGAAATTGTCTTCACATAGTTCATCCAGCTCCTTGATCTTTTGGGAAATTGATCTATATTCAGTTGCATGTCTATGGGAGTTGAAAACCTATACTGAAAACATGAATCAAAAAAGTATTGCATTTTTTTCAAGTAAACTCAGAAAACACTAGTAACAACAAATGTAGTGTGATTCAGGTCTCGCTGAAGTGGAAAAGAAGTCAGAAAACTTTGTTTCAAAACTTCAGGCAGATTAAAGAAAAATCTAGCATATGTAAATAACTATTGATGGACACAATTATGTTTTAAGAGAGATTACCAAAGGGTTGAAAGCTCTGAGGAATCAAATTAATGACCTGGAAAACAAGCTCAAATTAAGAAACATCAGTTTGGGGGTGGATCCTTAGGGCCTGATGATGACAAGAATAGAAAGATTTTTTTAATAGATTGTGGAGGTGTTAGGGATGAAAAATCCTTGATTCCCTCTGCAATATATCTCTGCTCATTATATTTGTAGCAACGACAATCAGGCAACACCCATCATGATGTTTATCAAATGTGCAACATGTTACAGATCCCACTGTAACATTCAACTCATCTTCCTTTCCCAGACTCCTGACTCTGATTTTCTCAGTGTCTGAATGAGGGGCTAGTTCACAGACTGAAGTTACTCCATATTGACACTAGAATAAATAAAATTATGCTCAACTTTCTTTAAGAATTTTAAAATTAGTGTGCTATTTCATAATTTATTTTTGAACTTTATCTAAATTTAGCTATATTATCCTCAAATTCTTTTCAGAAGCACACTGTGATTTTGATTCTTTGCTTATCCTCATGCAAAGCAGAAAGAAGGGCCTAATCTCAGAATCATAAAAACACGAAATTAGTAACAAAAGGGAATTGGATTCTTTGGCTATTTATAGAATGTTAACCTTTTAACTCTGATCAGAATCATTATTTATGTGGCACTTATTTGCTCAAGCATTATAGCCATCTCTGAAAGACACTCTGAAAGGCACGAACTATTGGATGGTGTGTCTGCTGAGATACAAAGCACATGTCTGAGACACTTGGGATGGGCACCCCTGGCATTGCTGTATACACAGGTAAAACAAAGAGGCAATTTCACTATTTTGTTCAATAAAGCTGGGAACTGTCTCTTANACCCACACATATCTATAGGCCCTATAGTCTTTAAAATTATGGGATGTGATTTTTTTTCACTTAGTTAAGATACATTATGAAAAATTATTTTTAAAAATTAATTCCAGGCAATCAAATAAATCCCACTTTTAGCAGGATTCTCTGTCCACAGAGGTTAAAGGTAATAGAGGCAAGAAAGAACATTGAAAGGAGTTCAATGGAAAGGAGTTCCTGGAATCCATCAGGATTGTGGTAGCATTCTGAAGTCCTGCAGGCCATCAGAAGGAGGAATGAATTTAATCCAAAACCATGTGGATTCTTTTCTTCATGGATGGGAATGGAATACCAATGCTGCGTCACTTAGGCTGATGGGCTGTAAAGCCCATCTGACTCTATAGCAAAGGTATTTACAGAACAGTACTGTGAAATCTCTCAAGAATGTTATATCAAAAATCCACTTACTCTTTAGTGCTGGTTATTCTGTGGTTCGGTATTGGAGAGATACAAGGTGGGAGCAGACAGGAGGCTGGAGGGTCCTCCAGGCGCTGCTTCTTGCTTTCAACGAAAGTATCCAGGCTTTCTATCTGCTTAAACAAAAAATGGTAGAGCATAAAAGATCCAGCACTTATGCACAACTTCACTGGCCATTGAGAGGACCTATGAAATCTCAGTGTATTGCCTTAATAGCAGCAGCAGTTAAACTCTGGTCTAAGAGAAGTGAAAGTCACCTGAAATCAGGGCTAAATGTGCTCCAAACACATGACATGAAGTTATATAACAACTGACATAGCAGATAATTGGAAGCAAAATGTCTCGTGTGCTAAAGTTATCTTCTGTAGTGATCTGGAATTTAATTAATAATTTAGATGCAATGACTTGATAGCACCAAACCTTATTCAAGTAATAGCTTTTACTCATTCACCTAATAGAAGTTGATGAAAAAGCTTCTCTGAGTAAATATTCCTCACAGGACTAAGAATAGAGGACTGAGTTGGGGTAATCATTAACAGCAATTTGAAATTTGCTTTGGAAGACTCCCTGATGTATGACTTTTGTGCCTGAACTAGGATGATACAAGCAAAGCTGATTATTGCTCTGTCTCTGAAACGTTCGTATCAGTGCTCAAGCCCACTAGTAGACGGCTAAAATAAATCTTTTAATAGCATCATTTAGAAACACAGATTAGTCACTCCCTACCCAGCTTTAACTCTTGGTATACCCTTGAGTCATCCTAATTGGCTTGTTTCCCCTTGGTAGCAGTGAACAACCACATTGCAACTAAATGGGCTGGTTCAGAGTCTAGCTTATGTTAGCACAAGCCCAGAGCAAGATTCTCCATTTTGTTACTTTCTGATTCAAAGTCTCAGTTAATGAAATGACGAGGTTCCAAATTTCATATAATCTCCCTTATTTTTTTTCTTCCCTGGGAGCCCTCACTTTAGTTGCCAGTACTACACTTGTGTTTTAGTCAAGATTCCTTCTCCATGATACAGACACTCCACTCAATTACCCAGCAAGAATTATTTTTAGTATAATTAATATGCACCCTGGTGTACTTAGACATATGTAAGTATGGTCATTTATACATCCCTCTTTTTTTTCTCCTTTCTTCTTACATCTCTGCAGTGTGCAGCTAGAATATAAATTGAATAAAAACCTGTTGAGTTTACTCATGTGATTATTTTCACTTAATTCAACAGGAAAGGAGCCAGTGCAGTGATTCATTTAGGCAGGAGTGTTGACCCTGTGTCTACCCGGCATCATCTGTCTTTGTCTTGCAGTAATTCTCTCATACCACTGGACTCCTCAAACTCAGGATTTCAAGTCCACCAAAACAGAGAGCTGAAGTCATATTCACAACGGTTTATAAAATTTGGGGTATAAAAAAATACACTCTGATGACTTTCCACAGGCAGACCAGAGTAAAGCATTTCAGCTGGAAAAACTGACTACAAAAATTAATTTTGGATATAAAACCTCAGTTTCTTTTCTGAAAACACATTTAGTTTGAAGTGCAATGTCATAGCCCACATGATAAAACATAATGCCTTCAGTCAAATTATATTTGTTTTTTCAGGTAGCTGTGCAGAGAAAGCAGCTAGTTAAGTAAATTGTATTTCTATAAATCATATTTGTTCATACTACAAAACAATATAAAAACTAAATTCACCAGGAACATAAGCAAGCACCATTCCACTGACTTTGATGAAGCCTGTTTAAACCAGTGGTGAGAACACCTTAATTGTGCAAACAATGAAACTCCCCCTTCCAAACAGAAGTCACATTTTCTGAGTATGGCTGAAACTGTACTAATATGAACTCATCACTTTCTGCAGATTGCCAAACACTGGAAACTAATAGGTAGGTGAGTGAGCAAATACAAATTTTGTCAGCTGGGGTTTGCTTTTTACTAGTTTCTTATGTTAATTTGTAGTGCACTTGTAAATGTCCGTCCTTTGTAAAACCAATCAAGCCTCAGCGCTGTGATGCCTCCCAACAGCCCAGCTGTAGGTGCAGTGAGTAATCAATGCCTCTGACCTCCAGGGTGCTCAGAAACACGTTTTCCTTTAAACAATGAAAATTACTTACCTTGTGTTTCCTTTTGGATTTTGTGGAGGGTTTTTCAGCTGCTGGGGTAGGGGATTCTCGAGATGGTCGCCTGTGTTTCACATTTGCCTCTCTTGGTTCACTTTTCACAGACGTGGTCTCAAAAGTTTCCTGTCCAGGTATCCTAGAGAGTAAACTAAGGTCTATTTTCACCCACAGAGATTTGAGTTCTTCATATTCTCTCAGTGGGGATAGAAGTTCATTTTGTACGATTGGGATAGGAGAAAAGAGCTGCTCCTCCAGGTCATTGCTGGTCTGGTCAATGGATGTGTTGCTGCCATTGCTGGTTAAGCTACTTACGCTGAGGATGTTACTGCCAGAGTCCTTCACCTTGACACCACTGCCAGACCCAGTGCAGGCTGGCAGCACCTTCGCCTGCAAGCTCTCCTCCTGGTCTGTGTTTGAGTCAGAAGTAGATGAATCAGTTTCAATGAACTCCCGGGACTTTGGGATAATTTTGCTAGGGCCTCTGTACTTTTTCTTCTCTGAAGTGAGACCTGTGCTAGTTCGTGGTTCTTTCCTTGGAGCTGTCTTCCCAACTGCTGCTTTAGTTCGAACCTTTGGCTGCTCGGGGGGTTCCTGTGTATCTTTTTCTTTGGGAGTGTTGCTGGTATTATTTGGTTTTGGCCAGTTATACTCTTCTACACTGGAAGTCCTTTCTACCTTTTTGGGTTGCTTTTTCCCAGTAGTCCTTTGTGAAGCTGGCTCATTATGAGCTGGTGACTTCTGCTTGGAGACTTTTGCCTCTGGGGTTTTCTGGGCAACCCGTGGTTTGGCTTTCTCTCGGATGGGACTAAGGATTGCCCGGTCTTTGGAATCATTTGGGGGCAGGCTGCTGTTGAGCTTCCCTTTGTTTGGCCCTTCGGCCTGCTGGCTGCTCTGGGCCTGGGAGCTGCTCTCACTGTGAGGCTCATTTTGATTGTTGATGATGGTCTTGTGGGGGTTCACCTTATTTAGCCATTTATCCAGCTGCCATTTGTTTGTTGAGGGGGGCTCGGGCTGCAGATTGAAGGATGACAAAGAACAAATCTCAGACAGAAGCAGTGCTTTTCCTTTTAAAAGAGAACTTTTTAAAAGTTTAATGTATCTTTTATTTCAGTAAACTAGTGGAAACTGCTAGTTTTATGGGAGTATTTATGGAGTATTTATGGTTAATTAGGCTTCCTTATCTGGTTTACAATGTGGCCCTGGAGAAATTTAACCCAACTAAAAAGTTTAGCTAGTCCCTGAAGAGATACTTTTGTCATGTTGCCTTTCCTTAGTCCCCTTAGTCCCAGCTGAATACTGTGTCAATAAAATCTTCTTTAGCTACTGGCAAAAATCTAAATATTTCTTTAAAGGAACTCTAATGTAGGCCAGAAAGATTCTTCCAAAAGCTAGAATGAGTATGTGGGTCATACATGTGAAACGGCAAAAGGAAAAGAAGTCAACAGCATCAAACAGCACAGAACTCCAACATCCCCTAACAGCGAGCTGCACTTTGCTCCCCTCCACGCTTCCCCCTCTGGGGAGACCTGAGAGTGGCCTTACCTCTGGTGTGGCACTGCGGGACTCCTCGTTGCACTCGCTGTCGCTGGAGCTGCTCTCACTGTCTGAGTCGGACTCGGAGCTGCTCTCAGACTCACTGGAGCTGTCGGAGCCGCCACTGGAATGGGTCAAGCCAGTGGCGTGTGCCACTGGCACTGGCAGGCTGCTGCGGGGACAAGATCATTTCTTAGCGTGCTCCTGGCTTTTTGCAAGTGTTGCCCAGTGAACCCCATTCACACTGAATATCCTCAGTGTCACCTCCCTCTCCTGCAGTGCAGACCCACAAGACCTCCGGGGGCTGTGCCATCATGGAGCCACCAGACGAGCTGGTTGGGTTCGTGACTCATGGGACACATGCATTATGTTAATAACATTACCATCATCATCACCCTCCAGTAAGAAACACTTCACTGTCACAAGCTTGAGCTTATTAGGCCGATGATTGCAAAAAATAACAATCACACTTAAATAAATCATTAATGGAATAATGGTTTCTTCATTTTTTGCCAGTTCATTTATAATTTATGATTAAAGGAAGGACATCAGGCAACTAATATTGGACAGGACATTTAAAAAATTAATTTAATGAATACTTTTACACGGCAGTGTACAAAAACTATGTACTTTTGATGTCTCCAGGGAGTGCCTGAGAATTTTTTATTTATAGCTTTTTTCCCCTCTCATATTTATGATAATGCAGTGAGAAAATAGCATTCATGCTGAAAATAAGCTTCTCTGTGAAATCTATTTTTCTGTGTGTTCAACTGTCCTCCAAGATGTATTTATTAGCAGTGCACTGTGTGTCATTGTTTCTCCTCAGCGTTTGTTTCTAATCTGAGAGGTCACATGACCCAGCTTTTAGCACTACAGAATTCTGCCAGACGGAGTCTTTATAAACTCATCTTTAATTTAAATTTTTTTTTGTCAGGGAGATAACCATAATGTTATATGTCTCTTCAGCTGATCTATACACAGACTTTTTGATGACTGATTTTAAATTTGTGAAGCTGACAAAGCAAAGTGTTTGAAAATTGACACCATTTGCTAGTACACCTTTATGGATATTCAGCACTTCACCTTAATACATCATACACCGTGTGTGTCCCATATTGAGTGATCCAGAGATGCCTACAAGGTATAATACAGCCTTGCCTCTGTTTCTATCTGCTTTTCTATTTTCCTCCCAGAAGGATTCAACTAAGCCAGGAATATGCTTTCCTTCCCTTTTCAAACCAAGATGCTCTGTGCAACAAGACACTCTCTTAAAAAAACCCACAGTAACCAAGAAACTGGAAAAGCCAGGGGAAAAAACAAAAAAGGAAAAGCCAGAACAAACTGATGTGTGACCCTGCTCTGCTAGAATCTTTACAAGCATTGGCATTGGCTTCCATGACAATAATAGATGGACTTTAATTTTCTTCTTACACTAAGCTACTTTATCTCCCTCCTTGTTGGTAAAACCTAACGCTTACACAGTGGTTGGTAACAAAACTGTCTCTTTGTGCCTTGCAATGGCCCTGCAGTGCCCATTGACGAAACAGCTTGGTGCTTGAGGGTGCATTAATGAAACAAAATTACTCACTTGGGTAATTTCTACAGATCACTAACTTTGGTGCTCATTAAGTCCATACACTTCTTACTTTTTTAATTCTTCTAGCAGCTCCTTTACTCAACTGACTCAAGTAGAGCTACTTAGAAAATTTCAACTGGACGTAAAAGGCAACTCAAAGAACAGATGATGGAAACATATAGGTATTTCCAAAAATATTATGGAAAACTAACCACTGCTGAATTAAAACTGATCTTACTGATTTTGTATTTAATAAAATTATTTTTGAAAAAAGTTCGTATTTCTTCCTTTATTCCTTCTTTTCAGTAGAGCTCAAGAAAGTGTAAGAAAACGCATTTTTCATGCAATTTTTTTACAAGTAAACAAGGAAAAAGAAAAGTGTAGAAAAAGAAAATGTGTTTGTAGGGGTGTTGGCCTTTCTCATCAATATCTTGCAATTTCGGTCTCATATTTTCTACTTGGAAAACACTAATAGTAGATGAAAACTGAGCTTTCATATTTCATTGCAAATACTTCTAGGAAGAATAAAATAGAAAACAGCACAAGAATTCCCAGACTGAGGAGGCAAACACGGCAATTCCATTCTATAATGCCAGAATGAAGCACCAGCCTTGGAAAAAAAAGTGTTATTTATGGAATTATCATTAGTTTTAATTTAAAAACAACTTCCCTCTAAATCTGAGAGCTTCTCTGGAGTGGTTTGCGCCCAGGTAACCTCAACACAGAGGGGTGTGCATGGGGCTGCACACATCTGCACACATCTGCCTAAGGATTGTTAGGCTCCTCTCAGGACTGGCACATCTGCTCTCATTAAGACAACTGATGTAAAGAATAACCTCTTACATTAGATCAAAAAAGGGAAAGGCAGTGCCCCAGCCAGACCTTTCTCGCCTTTAAACACAACTTACCTCTCTTAGCACTCTGGGACTAACATTGTAGCTGGGATGTGCTCACAAAATAACAGGAGTTGTTCTGGAGCAGACTACAACTGTCTGACAAAGAACTCAAAGGGCAGGAATAAAACCACGGAAATAGCAGCTCCAACCTGGCCTTATTTTCTTTCTGCACATCAGCCTCAAAAAAGCTACCATTTGCCAAACGTTACCAAGTAACATAGCTCAGCAAGCATTCAGGAACCAGACAGGCTCAAAATAATGTTTTTCATACAAAACACAATGAGGTCATATTTGTCTTTTATCTGGGATAATAAAATTATGCCTTGGCTACACCAGGCAGTTTCATGCTGAAGGCATCATTGCTGATCCTCATTACTAAAGTAGAAGCATTCATTTTCATCCTGTAGTTTGGTTGAGAGCAACTATGTATGCTTTGAAAAACAATCAGCTAAGACCCAAAATGCCTTTCCTAGCATGCTTCTCACCATACTAAAGACAGATCTTGTACATAGCTACAAGCACAACCAACTTCTTACAATGCAGTTCAGCAGAGAAGAAAAAGGTATACATATGTTTCACAAACAAACAAACAAGAAGCATAAAAAAGTGCATAAAAGATGAATATCTGCTTCCAATAAAATAAGTTTAGTAGATATTCTGGATTGCATTCAAAAATATTTGGTTTGCACTCTTTCCAGAGATTTCTGCAGATTTAAACTTCAATCATGTTTTGAAAGATGTTGGGCTAGAGTCTGCAATTCAAGCAGCAGTTACATAAATAAACTGGGCTTCCTCACATAGGTTTCAACTACATGAACTGGGAGTTGCCTCTTGAAGAGACTTTGAAGGCAAGCTTTGTTATGTTTCTAAGATCCAGACAAGGTTTAAAATGGATTTAAAGCATTTTATCCTCAGACACAAGTCCTCAAAGCGACTAAAGAGGACAGGAAGGACTGATATTTGAAACTACTGAATTTTTATTTCCCAGCAGGAGATGAGCACTCATATTGTTCCTCAGTGTTTGGGTGACAATGTTTTATTTCATGTGAACTGAAAAAAACCCAACCAAACAATGCTGCACAATGGAACACAGCATTGTCTGGGTAAGTAACACTTATAAGAAAGCCAGTTCATTATTATCACTTGAGATTGGAGGCCCCTACTAAGACCGGTGACTCAATGTGCTGGATCTATGGAAATACATGATGAGGCACAATCCTTGGGCTAAAGAGCTTGCAGTGTAAACACACGAAGCAAGCAGCAGAGGTATTACAGTCATCCTCATACTCAATGTGGGTCTGTCACATTCTCTAAGTGCAAGGCCTCTCTGCAGGTGATAGAAACATCAGTTTTGCCCTCCTTTTATGTTTGATCTTCTAATTTTGCAAGCCCCGTGCTCAGCACTTGAGCTGAGTCCTGAGGAGCAGTCAGAGATGCTCTGCCCTGACCCAGAGCCCTGACCAGGCTGGGAGCAAAGATACAAAATAACTAGGCAGGGAGACCCCTGTGACTCAGGCCAGATGGACCTGCAGTGGCTGCACACCCCTCTCCCGAGAAGCTCCTCCTGTGCTGTGGAAATGAGAGCCCTGGAGTGACACCCACACCGCAGGGGAAGGGGAACCAGGCCTCTGTCCCTTGGAAAGGTCACCATGATGATGTCTCTAGCTGCCTGCAGACTGGTAAGCTGGGAGTCTTCCTGAAAGAAGAGACCTGCACATCTGGAAGTAAGCTCTTCTGCAGCACCTTCACCCATCTCCCTTCTTGTGCTTTTGCAGTGCAAGCATTTCCCCAGTCCCTGCTAACTGTGCACAGCACAGCCACATATTATGAGACGAGAAATGCCTCGAAGGAGGGGACAAGTACATGAAGTATTTTTCAGCTCTTCTGAGGTCAAACAACTACAGAGCAGCTGAGACTTGCAGGTGTGTGGCTGCTGATGGCTCCTGGTGAGGAGCTGCACTGACCTTATTACACACCAACCATCTTTCCCTGCACTTCACTGATACAGGTGATCTGCACAAATCACCCTGAAGCTTGTTTGTTTTTAAATTCATGGGTTATTTTTCCAAAGCCAATTAAAGCAGTCATGGAATTATGATGTGTCTGGATCATTATGCTGCAGAGAAAACCAAAGGCCTGATACGTGGCTTATTCTTTTTTTATTCTTGTCATCTGGACCATTATATTGCTTTCAACATATAATTTACTCTACTGTTGTTACAAATGATCTTCAAAATTAAACCTGGTAGCTACAACAAAGATAATGTAAAATACTCCAACTCATTAACCTCTAATATGAAAAATAATAAAATTTTAACCTTGTAAATACAGATGTAGAAGAAAGGTATAATTCAGCCTACAGCAGTAAAACTCACCAAGGAACAAAACTTCCTAATCACTCCTCAGCTATCTCTCTGTACCTTTTCCCAGTTGGATGTAGTCATGTTAATTGCTGTGAGGAGAATTTGGCAAATAGATGGTGCCCTCCAACAATAAGTTTATTCATTCTAAACCTTCCTTTTTAGGGTAATGATGAATTGGCCACTTGTTTCACTGCTCTACTCAGAAATCAAAATGTAAACTTAGAGAAAACAGAGTTGCTGGTCAGTGGGAAACTGAAGATGGGAACTGACCAGTGAGTCAACAGTACATCCATGTTGGTAACGTATTTCCATTAGAAGCAGCACACTACAAAGGTTG